CCGGCCTCGGCGGCTGCAGGTGAGCACGGTGGCCGCCCAGGCGACACCGAGCGGCCGACGGAGAGCCGGGGCTCACTCGCGCGCGCGGGCGGGCGGGGGGCGCTGCCCCTGAGGCCCCGGGACGCGTGACTGGCGATCCCTCGGGACAGCGGGAGGAGGAGGCCAAGTCCCGCGCCCCCGGCCGGGGCAGCCGGGCGCACTTCCCGCACGGCCAGCAGGGGGCGCTGTGCCCCGCGCGGGGACCCGGACCCGGGCTCGGCGGCCGCACCGGTACTCGAGGCGCGGGTCGCGGCTGCTGCTCACTCCAGGGGCCCCTGCATTTCCCGCTCGCTCTCGGGCAGCGAAGGCTCCGGCTCCTAGTGTGAGAGCAGGAGAGGACCCGGAGGGCCACCCCGCCAGCTGCTGCGTAAATCCCGGGGACGGCCGGGGAAGCGGGGCGCGTCCCGGGGGTCTCCAGGACCGGGCGCACGGAAGGCGCCTCCGCATAGCCGCTCGCCGGCGACGGGGTCCCGTGGGGACCGGGTCGGGAGCCCACAGCGCCGCCGCCTGAGTCAGGGCGCAGCCGACAGGCTGCCTGAGGTGTGTCAGAGATAGGACGAGTAATTTCCTGGCCTTTTCTTACGCTTCTCGATATTGGGAATTGAACCCAAGGCCTTTGCACTCAGCTGCAGCCCTGGCCCTTTCTTGTTTTGTATTTTGAGACAGGGTCTCGCTAAGTAGCAGGGGCTGGCCTAGGACTTGGGATCCTCCTGCCTCAGCCTCCTAGAGAGCTGGGATTACTGGTGCGCGCACCATTCCTGTTAACAAAGTTTTGAGAACAGTTCTAGGAGCACCCTAAGGTTAGTGGTGAGCTCCCTCGGCTGTCTTTCCAGAAAGAGCCAGGAGTTGATGTGAGCTGAGAACTCACTGCCAGGAAGAAAGACGATGCTGCCCGAGGGTGGGTGAGAGAGAACCCCGGCGGGTGGAGCCAGAGTTTGCCTGGAGCCAGAAGTCTGATGGTGACTTCCACAGCTCAAGGGAGGTGGCGCGGCTGGACTCCCCGGACCTTCCAGGGTGGCCTCCTACTGCGGAGGTCTCGCGCTGTCTCACTGGCAGCCCCAGTGCTCTCGGTCGTGGGGCACCTCGGTCACAGACCCCGAGGACGAGGTGGGGCCACTTTTGCAGACTCTCTTCTTCCTGCCCCGCCCGAGGGGAGTTCCGGGTGTTGGCTTTAGGCTGAGGCAGGAGGATGGCGGGCGAGTGTGAGCCCAGCTCCGGCAACTTAGTGACTTAGCAAGATCCTGTGTCAAAATAAAAAGTGAAAAAGGGCCGGGGCTGTAGCTCAGTGGGAGGAAGGTTGTGTTTAACCCTCCAGAGTGGGGGCGGGAGTCGGAGAGAGAGAGAACATGCCCGCCTCAGCACCCACCCCTCTTCTTGGCCCGTGGTGGGGTCTGGAGCAGAGGCTAGCCAGTGCCGCACTCATTTGTTACGTAAATTCTTTATCAAAAGACCCAGACAACAGTCATCTACCTCCCTCCCAGGCCCGCGCCCCAGATGTCCCTCTTTGACCCCAATTGATTACACCTAACCGAGAAGCCGCCCATTGTTCTAACTTCAGTAGTCAGCAACTGGTCAGTGGTGAACAAAGAATAGGCAGGGAGTTTTAGAGGGGACCAGGAAGGGGTCTGGCAGGTACAGGGGTCGGAGCAAATATTTGTGGTCGGGGTCCATGCGCGGTCAGGGCAGATGTGTGGGTGCTGTCGGGTGACTTGGCGCCGGGAAGACGTTGTGCTGTGCGTTGTGGTCTTTTCTCCTTTCTATAACATCCGTTCTGCGTTCTGAGTGAGGACACGCACACCTGTATCTAGGTGGAGACTGCAGAACGTAGACCTGGTCTTCAGCCACCTAAGGAGCAGTGTGTCTTTGCCGAGGGCTGCGGTTTTCTGTATCTGCTGAAACTGTCACTGTTCGTGGGCACCTCAGCTGGCTCCATGTCTTGGCTACTGTGCGTTGTGCTGTAGTAAACGTGGGTACGCGGGTGTTCCCGTAGCGAGCTGGCTTCAATGCCTGCTAGACATCCGAAATGCCGGGTTTATGTTCTCTAAACGCGAATGAATTCTAGGAACAACGGAGGTTAAGAGTAGGAAGAATTTTTAAAAAAATTTTTATTAGTACATGTCTGCAGTACATAATGATTACATTCATCGTGGGGAATTGGTGCCTGTACCTAACACCCACATCTTAATTCCTTCACTTCCTCTTCTCTTCCTCTCATGTCCATCTATCTCTTGGTACCTTTTCCATTTGCAAAAAATCTAGCTCTGTTTTCTATTATCTATCTTTAATTTGCTCTTTAAATATTTTTTTATACTTTGGGTTTCTCATATAAGAGAAACCATGTGATTCTTAAGCTTGTGTCTGATTTATAGTATTTCACTTAATAGAATGGTTTCAAGGTGCCTCCATTTTTCTACAAATGACTCAAGTTTATCCTTTAGAGCACAGTAGTACTTCATTGTATATAAATACCACATTTAGGAAGGATTTATTGAGAGAAAGATAGCTTCTGTCTAAGAGAGACAGAAGGGGTTATAAGGGGAATAGATGTTACTCCTATCATGCTAGATGTCAGATATGCGCGTTTGTCTGAGGAACAACAGAGGTTAAGAGACAGGCGGGGTCCCAAATGGAGTGCCCTTTCTCTCTCTCTCTCTTTTTTTCTTTCTTCTTCTTCTTTTTTTTTTTTTGTTTGAGACAAGGTCTAGCTATGTACTTTGGGCTGGACTTGAATTCACTGTGTAGCCCAGGCTGGCCTCAAACTCACAGCAATCCTCCTGCCTCAGCCTCCTTTGTGCTGGGACTGCAGGCGTGCGCCACAGCGCCCAGCTCAGTAATGCATTCTTTTTGTTGCTTTCTAACATCCCATTGTGTTACCCACCATGATTTAGGAGAGCTGCTGTTTTTTCCACTCACACTTCATTTTGAAAGGGAGCATGTGACTACTGGTGCCTCGGTTGTCCTTTTTACCCCTCTCTTTCACTTTTTTTTTTTGGTACGGGGGATCGAACTCGAGACCTTGTGCTTTCGAGGCAGGGGCCATGCCACTGAGCTAAATCCCAGCCTCAGTTGTCCTGAACTCAGTTCAGCAGCAGGAATGAATGAGATTGTGTGGAGCTCCAGGTCTGCAGGGTTAAGTAGGGCCTGTGTCAGGGTGTGGGAGTGGACGTGTTAAGGGAGCAGTTGTTGCAGTTCACACTGTAACATGGGTCCGGATTCTGGGGCTTTGAATGCCGAGCTAAGCTGTCTAGACTTGATCCCATTGGAAGTCACTGACAGTTTTGGCACGGAGCTTAATAAGCAAGGTACTGTATTATGTCGGCAGGATGGAATTTAGCACTGGTGCCAGATGGTTGGAAAGGAGAGAGTTGGAAACAGTTTATTAATTAGGGATATTTTAGCTGCAAGCTGCTGAACAAAGTAAGAGTGGTGTCAAGAAGGAAGTCTGTTTCTGTCCTGGAGGCAGGGCCCGAAGTGTGTGGCAGGGCACAAGGGAGCCACAGCTCAGTACCTTGTTGCTTTTATTAGGCATGGCTTCCATTTCTTTTTGTTTTTTGAGACAGGGACTCGTTATGTAGCCCAGGCTGGCCTTGAAGTCACAGAGATCCTCCTGCCTCAGCCTTCCAAGTGCCAGGATTACAGGTGTGCTCCACCATGCCCGGCAGGACTCCATTTCTGTGGGGCCTCATGCTTTGAGAGGACTGCTGGTCTCCTTCAAGGATGTCCTCATCGCTGGAGACAGGAAAGGGCAGAGTAGGAAGGTCGCCTCCTGCTGCTGTTATGCACTCCTCCCAAAGCTGCATGCATCCCGTCACCCGGTCCGCTGGCCAGCACTTAGTCACCGCAGACCAGAGAGTGGAAGCTGTGGTCCTGGTCCAGCATATCACTTGTCCAGTCAGAAAGTGGGTGTCCTACTAAAGAAGAAGGGCAATGCTGGGTGTGGTGGTGCATGCCTGGAATCCTAGCACCTGGGAGGCTGAGGCAGGAGCATAGAAGGTTTCAGCCAGCCTGGGCAACTTAGTGACTTAGTGAGATCCTGTCTCAAAATAAACAAAATTTGAAAAGCCGTGGGATGTAGCTCAGTGCCAAGATTGTGCGTTCAGTCCTCAGTGAGGCGGGAGGAGGAGAAAGAGGACAAGGTAGGTATTGGAAGACAACCAGCAACCTCTGCCAAGGCCTCTGTGGTCTCTGATAGGAGGAAGGGCCACGTCTAGGGCTGGGGCAGGGCTGGAAGGGCCGGGGAGGAGGGCATGCGAGTCGTCAAGGAGACCAGACTGTGATCGGAGGAGAGGGGAGGGGACGGGGGAGGCCTTATACCTGAGGGCTCACACAACTGCTCACAGTGCAGGGAGCCCTGTCACGGCTTGGAGGAAAGTACTGGTCAGGGTAGACGCTTTTGCCAAACGTGACCTCAGTTGTAGCAGTTTTGGCTCCTCGTAGAAATCAACTGACCAGAATTGGGAGAAATTTCAGCTCACATTTAGTAATTAGTCTTGAGAGCAGCTTCATTATCACAAGGTTGAATGACACAGTATATTATCCTTTTTGGGTCATTCTAGCCAGGGGTGGTGGTGCATGCCTGTAATCCCAGCACCCAGGAGGCTGAGGCAGGATGATTGCAGTGAGTTCAAGTCCAACCTAGGCTACATAGGGAGACCCTGTCTCACAAACAAACAAACAAACAAGGTCATTTAAAAGAGCAATAAAATGAGTGGTTAAGTTGCAGATTATGAATTTATGCTTTCAGGACATATAAGCTATCCAACTATCCTTCTGTTGTATAAATGGGGCCTGGTGGCCTGGAATAAAGTTTTTAGTGACAGCATCATACATGGGCTCAGAAAGTCCTGTATCTCAGGCAACTTCAGAGTGAGGGTGCAGACATTGTTTTAGGGTTAAGATCTCAGTGTCAGAGAGGCAAGGGCATTGTCTTGTGAAACAAGAGAGAAAACTTTGTTTTATATAACTTTTTAATTTCTAATT